TAATGATTTCTGCTAAATTATGGTTAACTAAAAAAATCTGACCAGCAATTTTAATTATGTTTACAATGTCTAATCATAGCAGGTACTAAATATGAGCTTTCGTAATTGCTGAATATAAATGAATCAAATCCAAAGGAGAAGAAAAGTTACGCGTACATTAAAAGAATTCTTAATTGAACAGCAGAGCAGTTTCACTGAAATAAAAACAGTGATTAGGAACGTGACCATCATCATTTATATTACGACTTAAGGGAATACAAGTAATGAAATGGCGGGGCGAACGGAAATATTCCTGTACATGCTTCGAGTTTCAACCGAATGAAACTGTACTCTATCCTGACTACTTAGAATCTTAGCAAAGTGAACATTCAAGACTTCCATAATCCCTCTCCAAGATAAGCAGGCTTCTCTAGCTTGGAAGTCCACTTTTCCTAAAATAGTAGGATAAGAAGTTGAGACTAGAAACTGGATAACTAGAATCATCTTCGTTAAACCTACCAGTCACTGATTGCAATCTCAATCTCAATTATGAGAAAAAAAGTATAAACTGATCTAAAGATAGTATCCATTTATAGAACAAAGTATTCGAACAGATATCATTTTTTGCTGTATATCCTTTCTGAAAGTATTTCATCCATGAGCTCATGTGCTGAGGTGTTGAAATTCTTAAAGCACATCAGAATTTATGGACTATTATAAGGACCCCAAGGATGGATGAGGGTATGGTTACAAATTATGGATGAGGGTAAACAGTAGGGAGGAAGCCATGAATAATGAGATATAAAGGGATATGTAGAAAATAGGTAGGAATTTTCACATTAACCTTTCCCTTAATAGTGAAATTTACAAGAAAAATGAATTTCTCTATTTATCATAACGAAATAGGATTCTACTCTTGCCAATACCAAGAAGTTCAGTGGCAAATGGCGGAAGTTCATCGACGAGCTTGCAAGCAGCATCGATAAAACAGTACGTCGAAGCTCAGTTTTCTGTACTTCCGAAAAGCCTCGCTCTTCGAATTGGCTGAAACTTTGAAAATAAGTTCCTTTTTGAAAAAATTCGTAAATGAAAGAAGTATTCTTGGCGACTCGAAAAAGAATTTTTTACCATTTATATGTCATTGTCTGCATTACCGACGTAGACACAACCGCGGGAATATGCAATACAGTTTTGAAAGCAAGTTGAAAAATCTATTTTCAATCGTTAGGTTAGGTTGCGTTAGGATCCATTTTTACAATAATTAATCGAAGATATCAAATATGTGTATGCAACAAATTCAGAAACAAACAAATTATAAGTCACTACAGTGTTGGTAATATAGGAAATGACTTTGAAATAGTAAAAAAATTTTTATCGAGTCGCTAAAAATCCTTTTCGCAATAATGATTTTTATCAAAAAAGAACTTATTTTCAAAATTTCAGCCAATTCGGAGAACGGAAGTTTTCGGAAGTTTCACTGATAAAATGACAAATTTCCCCACGAAGAGTCGCAGGAGGCAAGTAGCCACGAGACTCCCGACGGCTGATAAATTGCCTCCGTCTGACCAAAAACTGGCTCTTCCACTTGGCCGGGCAGAAACAATAATAACTGTCGTCAGCAGCACCCAAAGACTTCCAGTCTAGCGAGATACGAGTCAGACGTGCATACCGTCTGCATTATTGCAGCAGTAAATCCTCGATGAATAGAAATCTACAGAAACAATGAGCATTTTCGTGGAATCTCGCTCCGTTTACCGGGTCTAAGAACATAATCACTCTGTTCTGTATTATAAACGATCGATAGTCACCGGTGCTTTTTTTACCTCACCGTGCGCCTGTTTATGGTAGCACGTGACGTTGTTGAAACACATATGGATGCTCAATCGACTGACGACAAGCAAACAGCCATTATGGCTGAACAACAGAGACACTGATCAAGTGTCATAGCGATGATTCAGGAGTTACGTCCACGACGATGATCGATTTCAGAAGATACTTCGAATATTTACGATGCAAAGCCATCGTGCGAAAACTTAATATTTATATAGAAGAAAGCATCGTGTATGCGTTGTATACGTCGAGAGTGCGAGCATATTTATCTTGGCCGTCGGTTATACTTCACGCTGAGTGCTATCAACGTCATCTTCTCAACAAAAGCTTCCAGAAATCGTGTTTGCTACATAGCATTAATTCGCGTGCTTTCAGTTTTAAATTCACTATAAAATAAAATTTTCAATTTTCAGCACATGTGAAATTATTTAATTATTTTTTTATAAACATTTTATCGTCACTATTAATGTTTATGGTTTCGTTTCAGGTCCACTCACAGATTAACCGAGACAATTTTATTCGAATTTTCGATGGGTGAAATCGAGATAATTTGTTCGTATCGTAACCAGCTTGGTTCATCGATTTCGTCGCGAAACACGTAAACGACATTAGTATCAATGGTTGACACCAGCACTCGTTCAACTTTGACAGAAACTACTAGTAACTCGTCCGATCGAGTTAGAATCTCATTTAAACGAGAAATACGATTTGTAGGTATAATTCGACTCTACTTCGTGCCTGATCTCCTCGTTTTAAGGGGGGGTGGGGGTTGGGCGGAATTAGTAACAAGTTGATAACAGAAAACGAAGCAATCAGCACGAGTCACAAATCGTTATGGTACTCGTCTGAAACCAGTCGAATGTAACAACCAGAATTAATTAACAACCAACACCAGTCGAACTTAATTAATGAAACACGAAGTGATTTTTTTATCAAAATACGAAATTGCAGTCATAAAGAAATAATTGATTGGTTCATTTATTCAGCCTGTTTTTCATGAATTCCTTATTAGAGAAATAACATCAGCAATAAATATTAATAAATAATATTTCAGAAACTTATAACAGTTTTTTCTAAAATCTTTTAAAACAAGCAATTAATTCAATATGTCAAAAAAAGTTGCAGACGAAGCATTATTATTATTATTATTATTTAATTGATAAGAAAATGTTTCTCTTCGTGGAAACTTAAATGTATAATAAATTACAAGATATAAAAATAAAAGGTTACATGAACTTATGAACTTTTCACTATGTTTCCAGACTTCAAGGATTCTGTAGCATAGAACGAAATGGTGGGATCAAGAAGTATAAGTCATAAATGTATCGTAATAAAACGGTTATCTCCTGCTTCTATCAAAACAGTGTGTCTCGATAAACAGGGGGATGATAAAAATTTATGAACTGTAAAAGACACGACGTCCATAACGAGTAGCGAACCGTCTAAAGCCTATTTGTTTCTTTAATGCCATTAATAAAATGGATCAATAACCAGTTTCTTATTTAAAAAAAAAAACAAGACGTGAAGCTAAATTATCTTTTATAAAACTGATCCAACTATTAATATCGACGTACACACGTGCTAGGAACTCTAAAATAAAATGACTAAACTTATAAAAAGCATTCTCATTAATAATTTAAGTTTTCTGACACAGAAGGGTAGAACGAACTTTCATCAAACGAAGTATTTAGGTATTTACTATTTTCAACGAGGTTTTCATATTTAAATCTGTGACGTTGAATTAAGCTTCACATTTTCCGGTTTGACATGGTAAATGTGAATCGGCGAAACGTTAATCTGAAATTTGCAATTCGCTACTGTCACGGTTCATCGATCTTCGTTTAGTGGGGTAATTGCTTACGGTCCCCCTAACGTGAAGCAGTCATCTTGGATGCTTTATTGGAGAAATTGTTCATTTTATACGCTCTGATAAACAATAACAGTCTATACCAAAGTTTGATTACTTACTTAATAAAAGAGACAAGCTCCTCTCGTGAATTGCCACTTACCTGAAACAAACAAGAGAATATCTCATAAATTCCTTCGTACATACTCGTTAAGGCTATACTGAAACATCAAAAAGTCGAATTTTTTTTTGCATTTTTCGAAAGTTTATACCT